AGAAGATAGTTTCCCTATTGGATGAAATTCTGTGACCTGGCTTATGCAGATCAGACCATATTATCATAATTTGATTGGTAAATTAATGACAATATATTTCTTGAGTACTCTGGCTTCTTTTTCAGTAGCTTCCTGTTTTAAACAACAATACCTTATAAATTACTAGGTTTTTCTTCACCCAGAAAAAAAAAAATCTGATCCATGGCAGCCACTGCTCCCATTAGAAGTCATGGCATAGAATAAAACTGTGGTCCTTGTGAAGGACCATGGATTTCACCCATGTTTCCTGGATCGGTATAGGCCGCTTTGAATCCCCAGTAACACCTAAGCTTAAGCACATAGGTTCATGGGTTGCATTAAGGGGTGATGGATTAGAGACACCTTTCCCTGACATTTTTGTTGTTTTATTGGGCTTATATCCAGACCTTAGTGTTATGCAAACCTCATACTTTTTGTTTAAAATATGAAGCAAATACATTGTGAAAATGATATATTTCCAAGTGATTTTGTCATCAGGCAATTAAAATATCATGTGCTATAAACATCTCTAAGACTCTATGGATGGGAAAGTTGCCAGTTTCACAAGTCACATTGCCTTCAAAAGTACAATGAACGTACAGTACTCTGAACAGCCTGGAAAGAAAAGTCATTTTCCAGCTCTTAGAATCTTTTTTTAGCTTTTTGCAGTGCTCTTAAGTCAAATTCTGATGATTCTAAGGGCAGAACCATTAAGCACCAATGATTCGTCAGTACTGGCATATTTAAATTCCAGACAACACACATGAACCTGTGCTTAATATTTTAATTGCACACCCAAAATGCTTTTAAAGAAAAACTAGCTAGAAAATGCATGCCTCTCATAAAAACTATTAATTATCTTCATTTTATTAGAAAAAGAATCAAGTAACTTGTACATTTTTTTATTTCATTGTTGCTGTTTTGGCGAAGAATGTGACGATGTAGACTAGGAATTTAAAAGGGATCTGTAAGATTTGTCTCTTAAATTCATATGTAAGCATCAAATTATCTTCCTTATCTTTGGAAACTACATCTCTCATTGGCTTGAACAAATTGATTTCAATTTATAAAACATTAAAAAGCATCTCTTGAAGTACTCTGTTAGCCTTAACAGAAACAGTTTTGAGCCCAATGCCTTAAAAATTTAGCTACAGGTCTGAATGTGCAGTGATTAACTTCAGGCTTCTTGATTTGTTATTAGTTAAGTGTCCCTGTGCCTCAGCTTACCCAACTGCAGGATGAAGACGGTGTTGTTGTGCCTTGCACAAGGTGTGAAGTACGGTGCTGCTTCTATAGCCAGGGAAGAAAGACTCACTGAGAACGCTAATGTCACATAGGAGAGCCAGGCCTGGCTCTCTGCCTCGCTATTGCTGTCGTGGGTCCTTCCAGAAGAGTCATTTAGGCTCAGATCCACAAGAGTTTTTAGGCAATTGTTTCACAATGGAAGTAAAAGGCGCTCTATTTTTCATGGGTCTAACTCCAACTCTTTCTACATCTCTGTCCTCACATGTAAAGTGAAGATAATAGCCATTTTCTATTGCAGGACATATGTATGAATAAATACACTGAAGCCTAACAGTTTCAATACAGTAAAAGGAGCCAGGGCAGTGAAATTTAGTGAATTAGAAACGCTATTTTTCAAATTGTTGTAGAAGCATAGGCCTCACTGACTAATTGATGTTCCTAAATCTCTAAAGTAATCTAGAAAAATGCCCCCTGATGGTAGATTGAGATCCTTGGGAGAAAGGCATAACATAACTTTATTCTTGGCTTTATCATTTTAACACTAGAGTATTTCAACAGAGTGCATTAATTAATAAGCCACTAAAAATAACTGTTGCATATTCCCTGAAAATTGTGATCATGAAGATCTTCCATGTAATGTATTTGAAAAAAGAAAAAACGTTCTAGAGCTTGTAATCATTATCTGAAAAGAAGAAAAAACAATATGACAATGTTAATGACCAGTTCCAAAGTAATGAAAGTTCCTTTAGTCTATTGTTGCTCTTCAGGAACAAGAATTCCAAGGGGAAAACCTCAGATGAGTGCTAACAATTGGAAAATTTTACCTAAACAATTAAGATAGTACTATAATTATTTGGAAAGAACAGCAGACCACTTATGATGTATGTTGGTGTTCTAAATATACATGTAATTTACACTGGATAATGTGCTGGTGACCAGTTGACCTGTAGAAGGCTATCTCAGCGTAGGAAACTTTTAATAGTCTCTTTCTTCCACCAGTACAACCAGGGGAACAGAAATGAAAACTGTGCCTTGATCAGTTGTGCCCTGGTGCAGTCCTGCGGCTGAAAGGAGTGTCCTCACTGCTGTTTGCTTGGGAAATTGAGTTTTGGTGGCATAAAGGTGAGGGCAAAATGAGGTTATGTGTCCCAATATTTTGGCAGCAAAACAGATTTTCCTGTGCTGTGGAGAAGCGATGAGCCTTTTCTATCCGCTCCTGTAAATCAGTACATCTCCAATAACACTGAAGCACTTGAACCTATTTATGCCAGGTGCAAATCTGTCCCACAGTCATATCCATATAAATAGATCCCATGGCTTTCCCAGCTTAGGGGACTGATATAATTCAGATGAAGACTTAACCTGCGTGGCTGAACCAGTGTCTTGGTGGAAGTGTTAGGCACCTGTGAGCATTTACTATTTTTTATTTTATAGATTGTGTGTGCATAGAGACACTGTCTTGTTGGGAGAGGTGTTCTTGGATGATACAGAGGTCACAAAATGGGTTTTTTCGAAAACTACAGTGCAGCAGAAAGGGGACTTTAATACAGTTTTGGAGTATTCTTTTAGTAAAATATATATACAAACAAAGAAGGTCTGGTTGGAGATGTGAAGGTTGGGGGCAGCCTTGGCTGCAGTGACCATGAGATGGTGGAGTTCAGGATCCTACGAGGAGGGAGCAGGGCAATGAGTAGGATTGCAACGCTGGACTTCAGGAGAGCTAACTTTGGCCTCTTCAGGGACCTACTTGGAGGAATCTCATGGGGTAGGGCCCTAGAAGGAAGGGGCATCCAGGAGAGAAGCTGGTTAATCTTCAAGCATCACTTCCTCCAGGCTCAAGATCAGTGCATCCCTCTGAGGAAGAAGTCGAGCAAAGCGGATTCAGCAGG